GACCCGGGCGCTCCCACGCCAGCAAGTCTTTCTTCCCCTTTGCAGGGTGCTCGCCCTCGCCTCCCGCGCAGCCCCTGCACCGTCCCGGCCAAGGGCCGCGCCATACCCAGCCCGGCGAGTGACCAGGCCCGTGCCGCGCGCAGGCTGCTCTCCCGGCCCCGGCCCCCCGCCGACCCCGGCAGGTCCCGCGCTCCCCCGACACCCTCGCGTCCTCCTTCTCCGTCGAGGCCATCCTGGCGAGGCCAGAGCCCCGCGCGCCCGCCGCCTCCCTGCTGTCCGCCTGCGCCCCTGCCTCCTCGGGCATCTGGAAGGCTCCCTCCCGGTCTCCCGCCGAGGGTCTGCCCCGCGCGTGCCCCGCTACCTGGCTGCCCGCCTACCTGAGCCTGGGGCTCTACCAGCCGTCCCCCCAGCACCCTGCGCTGGGGCTGCGCGCGGCTCACCTCGGCGGCCTCCAGGGCCTCGGCGTCACAGGTATGAGGTGTCCGGGAAGCAGGCGGGGTAGGTGGAGAGTGAGGCCCCGACAGTGGCTTGCACAGGTTAGAGAAGTCCCTGAGTTTGGGAACCGCACACGATCGGAGTGGAAAGGGCCCTATGACCCTTGACCTTGCAGTTGAAACCGAGGCCCCGGAGGGCTGGCTGAGAGCAGCCCCTGGCGCCAGGCTTCCCCGCAGGCTGCTGAGGTGGGAGAAGCTGAGTGTGAGGGCGAGTGCGGAGCGAGAGGTGCCGGCGGACCCAAGCGGGGCTCGGAAGGCCACCACGGCCAGCGCTGGGACTGCAGGGGACTCGGCGTCCTCCACGAGGGGTTTGCTCCCTCCCACACCCCCTTTGGATCATGCTTGGTGGCGCAGACTATTCCCCAAAGCAGCCCTTACGGTGACTCCATGGCCCTGTCTTAGCCGGGAGAAGCAGATGCTACAGGTGGTGCAGGTCAGGCCCCAGGGCCGCCTCCACTGCTCACCTCTCTGCGAGCTCATCTCCACCCTGAACCTCTCTGAGCCTGCTTTCTTAGAGTGCTTTCAGGGCTCTGGAGGGGGATGCCTCCCACCCATGTTGGAGAGAAACCCTGGGTTCCCGACCCCATCCAAATTCATGCCACTGCAGCCGGAGCCAGCCCCATCGCACCCCACCATGGTTTCTAACCTCCTCACACACCTGAGGTCTGAATTGCACGTAACTACTTTACATTAAAGTTGTCCCATTTTCAAGTTCGTTTTTGCATAGCTATTACATTCACACAGTTCAAATGTCAAAATGTTTACTAATACAGTAACTGATTTCAGGAAGAAAAAAATGTTTACTAAGAGATGGAGAAATTCCCTCTACCACTAAGGTGGCTGACCTTCAAAGACCTAGTTACCGCATCCCACAAGCAATCCATGACGCCTTTCTTGATTCTTTCAGAAGTACTTTATGCATATTTAATACCTGAATACACACACACACACACACACACACACACACGTTTCCCCCCATACTAGACACACTGCTCTGTGCCTTACTTTTTCATATCAATCCACACAGAGCTTCTTTACACCTCAGAGTGGCCCATTGTAAGGGTGCACTGTACTTTATTTAATCAGACCCTATTAATGTGTCTCACCTCTTGCTATGTTGCTTACACTTATGGTAAGTCTGGGTTGCCTGGTGGTTGGTGTCCTGGGCAGCCACGGTCCTGGCCTCACTCCCTTCCCTGGAACAGTTTTCAGCCCTGGGAGCCTCCCCAAGGCTAATGGAAGGTGAGGGGGTCTTAGCACTGCACTTCCGTTCCTCTGTCTGGAACACTCCCCTCCCAGACAGCCAAATGGTCCACTTTCTCGTTCCTTTCGCGTTATAATTCAGGTACCTGCCCCTGGTGGACGAATCTTCATCTCCATTGTCTACATCTTGCGAGCTGAATAGCACCTGTGTGTGCATTG